TTCTCCGTATGCGCGCCTTGATCGCTTTGATCACTGCTGGTGTTCTTGCAGAGCGAGGCCGGCCACTTCTTTTCTTGTCCTCAACACTTGAGACTTCATTGTACCTACTTATAGTACGATACACAAACCTAAGCGTTATTTTCAAATTTTTGAGCAACTTGAAAATCGTACTCGGCGAGTGCCCACAGCGATGCAACGCCAAAACTGCTATTCGGTTTTCTTTCAAAGTCCACTCCATCGCGAAAAATCGCGCCAAATGATCATTCTTTGTTTTAAAATAATTGTCATACATTCAAAAATGGAATGCAATAAAACTTTTTCACAATCGTGTCCCGAATTCAAAAATAATGTGCCAGTGACAGATCCTTGGGACCGACTACTTACTAATTATCCATTCCATGGTTCTTATGAGGTTTTAAGTTTATGGTTATAATTATTATGGTAAACAAAATTATGGATATTTATTGTTATGCCAATATATCCATTATGCATTTAAAAAACTATGCCAATTTACAATTATGCGAAATGACAACTATGCCGAAAGTGTTATGCGTAATGCAAATAGGAGTAAAAATGTTATGCGTTCGAAGGGGCACCCACGTTATAGTTTACCTCGGTACTTATTCAATCTTCTTCTTTTCGGGTCAATGGCAGTGATATCCGCATTTAGTGTTGTCAGATTCTTACACATAGACCCGCGAGTTTAGCCTAATATTTAGGTAAAATAGCTGAACGCATTGCATATTCAACGATTTTCAATCTTCATGTAAAAAAGTGTCAAAACCTAGTTTTTTGGCCTAACGGTCAGAAGAGGAAGCGTTCAGTTGAGTAGGATATATTTGGTTGCGCAAACGTTCATGTAAACACATTTAGGATAGAAAAGCCTTGCATTTTTTACGAACAGCACGAATTCCAAATAAAAGCCGGACAGGCCGCTTATTTTGTCCGGACAGGCAATGATTAAGACTGAATATGTCCGGCTTTATCCGGACGCCTGACAGCCCTACCCGCGTATTGGCCGCAGAGCCCTGCCACACGTTAGTGGCCAAGATACTCTTGCACTATTTCGCAGGATGAAATTAAACCGCTTTAGCCCAGTTGGTAGTGCTGTCACCAGTACAGTTTTTCTTTTTTATTATTGTCTAAATGTATTTCCATTTACTTGTCATTCATTGAGGCATAAAGATACATGCTGTGTGGTTAGCCTGGCCAGCCCCGAGGTAGTACCTTCATTTTTTATTATTTTTATCCCGCCCGAGCCGCGTTTAGAGTAGGAACACAAATTGTTATAAAAAAGAGAAAATTCGGACTATAAATTTTCCATTTTTAAAGTTTGAATTAGAATGTGACTTTTTTAAAGTGAATCTTGTAATTCCTACTGAGAAATAAATGCTTTGACTTGACCTAACTTGACTACAGACTTCAAAGGCCGCAGATCGAAATCCTGTCAGTGGTGGAAATTTTTGCAAGTTTTCCTAAATCAGTGTTTGTATTACGTTTCCAGACGAGTACTGGTCCCTGCACCCGGAGCTCCAGGACATCCCGATCTACTACGCGTCGTCGCTCGCCAAGAAGTGCATGGCGGTGTACCAGACGTACGTGAACGCGATGAACGACCGCATCCGCCGGCAGATCGCCGTCAACAACCCCTTCGTCTTCCGACACATCTCCAACCTCAAGGTATAGCATATAAATCATCATCATATCAGATCAGCCTACATCTACCCTCTGCTAAGTATAGGCCTCTATTTCGTCTTCAGACGCATCTCCAATATCAAGGTAATGCATCATTTTTATAGTATTTGTCGAACACCAGGACCCATATGAAGCAGGAATTCTACTACTACAGCGAATAACAAGATCACACAGAAGAATATTTTACTTTACATAACCAATTTTAATGTGAAATGTCAGGCTCGCTTCGCTCGCAATAGATATCAATCATTATCATCATATCAGCCTACATCTACCCACTGCTGAGTATAAGCCTCTTCTTTTTCTCGTCATCTGCGTCGGTCCTGTGCCTCCCGCATCCACTGTCTTCCGGCAATGGTCACCAATATGTAGTCGCTTTTTGCGTTTCTCCGTCTGTTTGTTGTAAAATTCGCTAACTCGCTAAACTACACAACGTATTTTGGTGCGGTTTTATGGAATAGATAGAGTGATTCAAAAGGAAGTTTTAAATGTGTAACTCACGCCAAGAAGTGCATGGCGGTGTACCAGACGTACGTGAACGCGATGAACGACCGCATCCGCCGGCAGATCGCCGTCAACAACCCCTTCGTCTTCCGACACATCTCCAATCTTAAGGTAATCTCTCTAATCTCATAATTTTAATCATATTTTTTAGAACACATGTTTTCTCTTGAAGCAGGTTCAGTTTAATCATATTTGTCGAACACCAGAGCCCAAATGAAGCAGGAATTCTACTACAACGGATATCAAGATCATTACGTTATTTATACAGTATAGTGACTCTTCATAAGCCTATATAGTACAATATAGTGACTCTTCGTTGGCCTATATAGTACAGTTTAGTGACTCTTCATTGGCCTATATAGTACAGTATAGTGACTCTTTGTTGGCCTATATAGTATAGTGACTCTTTGTTGGCCTATATGGTATAGTGACTCTTCATTGGTCTATACAGTACAGTATAGTGACTCTTTGTTGGCCTATATGGTATAGTGACTCTTCATTGGCCTATACAGTACAGTATAGTGACTCTTTGTTGGCCTATATAGGATGAAAATTTACTAGTGACCGATAGCTAAAACACAGAATCGGCTGGTGATAAGGAACAACTTTCCCCAAGGAACATAGGTCGAAATACGAAAATAAATTTTGGACCTCCCATAGTAACTGAAATCAGCTGATCGGCAAGTGACTCTTCATTGGCCTATACAGTACAGTATATTGATTCTTCATTGGTTTATATTATACAGTATAGTGGCTGTTCATTACCATTTATTTAATAGTAAGAAGATGTCAAATTAGATTAGAAATAGGCCTCCCCGAGTGGGGTAATTGTACATCCCGATCTACTACGCGTCGTCGCTCGCCAAGAAGTGCATGGCGGTGTACCAGACGTACGTGAACATCGCCGTCAACAACCCCTTCGTCTTCCGGCACATCTCCAACCTCAAGGTAACATCCGCATCCGTTTGCAGATCGCCGGCAACAACCCCTTCGTCGTCCGGTAACCAACCCCTCCAACCTCAAGGTAATCTCTCTAATATCATAATTTTAATCATATTTTGTAGAACACATGATTTCTCTTGAAGCAGGTTAATTTTAATCACATTTGTCGAACACCAGGACCCAAATTAAGCAGGAATTCTACTACTACAGCGGATATCAAGATCATTACGTTATTTAATTCACAAGACAATCTACAATTTACACAAGTAATTTTGATGTGAAATGTCAGGCTCGCTTCCCTCGCAACACTTGTAGTTGTATGTAGTGCAGTGTGACTCTTCATTTGACCCTTCGTCTTCAGACTGATCTCCAATTCCAAGGTAAAGCATATCAATCATCATCATCATCATCATATCAGCCTACATCTCCCCATTGCTGAGTATAGGCCTCTTCTTTTTCTCACCATCTACGCCGGAGATATCCAATATGTCAGCGGGTAGCAAGATGTAGGGTACCAAGATGTAGCGGGACGAAGTTGTCGAACTATACTAAAAAATCCACTCGCACATGAACGAATTCATGTTGTAGTAAGTGTTATAAGAGTGGTTAGACTGCACGTTGCAGACTTTCGCATGCGAAATAGTTTTGATTCGAAAATACGGCTCAGTTTTCGGCCTGTAAACACCAATTTCGCACGAGTAGGATTTAGGTTTGAATTTAATTCTTTTCATTTTCGATTGCAAGTAGTAGCTATAACTAGTTTACAGCGGTGTTCTGTTACCTCCAGTTTGAGTACCAAATTTTTAAAACAGCTCCCGTGTTAGGTACAAAATGCCGAAGGTCGCAAGTTCAAATCCTGCCAGCGGTTTTTGTTGCAAGTCTGCCTACCCAGTAAAGGATTTAGTCGTGATTTTACATAGCTATTATATTGTTGCAGGGCATAGACCACTTCGAGGACATAGGTCCGTGCGTGATCATGGCCTCCCCCGGTATGATGCAGTCGGGGCTCTCCCGGGAGCTGTTCGAGTGCTGGTGCACTGACCCCAAGAACGGCGTCATCATTGCTGGTCAGTATGAGACGCGCTTCGAGGACATAGGGCCGTGCGTGATCATGGCCTCCCCCGGTATGATGCAGTGCTGGTGCACTGACCCCAAGAACGGCGTCATCATTGCTGGTCAGTATGAGACGCGCTTCGAGGACATAGGGCCGTGCGTGATCATGGCCTCCCCCGGTATGATGCAGTGCTGGTGCACTGACCCCAAGAACGGCGTCATCATTGCTGGTCAGTATGAGATGTTGTTCAGAATGTACCTATAGTAAACAAAACCTTTTCTAAATAAGTGCTGAATTTGTGATATAGAATTTTCACACTATAGTCTAGAAAACCACTCGCTGCATTCGCGGTCGTATGGCGCTCCGCTTAAAGTAACGCGAACTATGCGCGTGGATTGTCTACGTTCGTCCTAAAAGCCAATAATTATTTTTTCTCAAACATGCTAGGAAATATGACAATTTCTTTCAAAAAAACAATCCAGAAAGTTTGACATTGTCTGTGATTTTGTAATTTCTGAACGATTTCTTTTTTACACAACCGCAATGGATTCCATCCAATACAACTTTTCTGGCGCAATATCGAAATCGTTCAGAAATAACAAAACGAAAAAAGAATAACTCCAAATCCACATCTTGACTTAGTTAAAGTCCTCGCCTGCGGCTCGGACTTCAAACTCTACTCGTCAATCAGTCTTATTTTCCGTCCTCGTCAACAACCTACTATTTTCTATTGGGATTTTACTGCACTTAAAGTGCTATTGTGCTATTATTTTCATAAATGAAATAAGATATCGAAGAAATACCACGCATCAACCGGGGATCGAATCCGGGACACGTAGGACCGTCCCACCGCTCTGCCACTGAACTATCGATGCACCGGTAGATGGTTGCTAAATATTCATATTCATTTTAACTTCTAATTTCATTTCACTGGGCTCCAGCCAGTTGGTAGAGGCGTCGCCAGTACAGATGTTGAAGGTCGCCGGTTCAAATCCAGCCTGCGGAGAAAATTTTGCAAGTTGTCCTAAATTGTATAGGTACCTAACACGGGAAGTGTTTTAAAAATTTGGTATTCTAATTAAATTGTTTTGTGTTGGTGTTGTTTTTTCCGTGTGGTGCCGGCAGAGTAGAATAGCACCACCCCCTCTCTTCTCGTGGGGGTCGTAAGAGGCGACCGAGGGATAAACCCGACCCAAACAGCTAGGGCCAACCGTATGGTGGCGATTAATCCACCACAAAAGCCTTCTCAAGGATAGTTGACGTCTGGTAGGCGGCCGGTCGTAAAATCAGCCAAATCCTTTTGCAACACGATTTTGTGTTCAACGAAACGTGTTGCGCCGACCCCAAGCAATTGGGATAAGGGCAGGAAGATGTTGATGATGAATTAAATTTATTGTTTATTTTGTCCAGGTTACTGCGTAGAAGGTACACTCGCCAAGACAATCCTCTCGGAGCCGGAAGAGATCACGACGATGTCCGGACAGAAGCTCCCTCTGAAGATGTCAGTAGATTATATCTCCTTCTCAGCGCACACTGACTACCAGCAGACTTCGGAGTTCATCAATATACTCAAGCCGCCGCATGTGGTGAGTTTTGACCTACTATACTTGGGCCACTCTATATGACTACATCTCCTTCTCAGCGCACACTGACTACCAGCAGACTTCGGAGTTCATCAATATACTCAAGCCGCCGCATGTGGTGAGTTTTGACCTACTATACTTGGGCCACTCTATATGACTACATCTCCTTCTCAGCGCACACTGACTACCAGCAGACTTCGGAGTTCATCAATATACTCAAGCCGCCGCATGTGGTGAGTTTTGACCTACTATACTTGGGCCACTCTATATGACTACATCTCCTTCTCAGCGCACACTGACTACCAGCAGACTTCGGAGTTCATCAATATACTCAAGCCGCCGCATGTGGTAAGTTTTGACCTTAAATATGTGGGGCAAGGCGGGTCATTCTAGGGGCCAAAGTCTGCTAAATTCAAATCAACTGCCTAAAACTTACAAAGTCAGTAAATGAAAATAGTTTCAGTTGTGCATCGATGGCATGTCAGTTGGTTTTGGTAGTTTTATATTCTGCTAATAGTTTTTAGTAAAATTAAGCCAAATCCTTCTATAACACGATTTTGTGTTCAACAAAACGTGTTGCGCCGACCCCAAGTAATTGGGATAAGGGCAGGAAGATGATGATGAGTTTTTAGTATAGAAAATCACAGTGGCACAAGAAAAATTTGGTCCCACCGTACAAAATTGGCGATCAGCTGATTTGAGTTACTGAGGGAGGTCCAAATTTTTCTTTCGCCGCTATAACTTTCTTAAACGATCTATGTTTCTTGAGAAAAGTTGTTTCTTATATCCTGCCTGTCCTAAATTTTCGCTATAGGTCACTACAAAATAGTAGTTTTTATAACAAGGGAATAAAGTGATATATTTAGGGCGAGGGCGCTATTTTGAATCATGAGCGGAACGAGGGATTCTAGAATAAAATCCCGAGCGCAGCGAGGAATTTTAAAGTAGAATCGTGAGTGAAGCGAGGGATTCAATGTAAGTCGCCCGAGAATAAATAACTTTATACCCGAGTGATACATACTACTTTTCATCCCCCTCTATGAGAAAAACAATAAATACTTACTTACAATTACTGCTTGCTATTATCCATTATTTTACAATACATCCCATTAATTGCGTTATAAACATCCAATATTTACAAAACCATTATAATCACACATTTCATTTCATATTAATGCAATATAATTAAGAGGTTATATTTTTGTTGCCCATTGCCGGCCAGTTATCGCGCCAAAAGAAAAATAAAATTTGACACATTACTTTTTAATTTCAAATTTTGCTAGGAATTAGGTCTTTTATGAGCTACATACTAGGTGTAAAATACTCAATAAAATAGCAGATAACAGGTAGTGTTGCATAGAAAAAACCCATCTCTAGTAAATTTACGAATGATTGACTGCAAATATTTGTGTTCCAAATTCAAATGAATTTTAATCCCTTGGGATTAAATGACCTACTTTAATCCCACTTATGTGCGACCAAAGCGTAGTTTTTTGAATAGAGGGGATGAAAACTTCGTTTTTAACTTAACTTCTACCATCGTGTAATGCGGAAAATAGAGTGACTACAGTTCTCAATTTTACATTTTTATTGAGGTAGGACATTGTACGCGGAACCACTATGATGATTTTCCGAAAAGCAAGATGGTGTCGTGCCTCAGAGGGATTACTTAGAGTCGTTGTTTAACTTTAAGTAGTAGGCGATTGTAAAATTCAGTTCGTTCGTAGACCAGGTGTACCACTCGAAAAGAAAAAAGATTTCATTATCATTTTAAAATCTTTTGATTTCAGGTGTTAGTACACGGGGAGCAGAACGAAATGTCTCGTCTGAAGGCGGCGCTACAAAGAGAGCACCGGGGCAAGCTCGCCATACACACGCCGAGAAACACGCAGCTACTCTCACTCACGTTCAGGGGAGACAAGACTGCTAAGGTATTTAAACCACTAATTAAGGAGACTGCTAAGGTATTAAAACCATAAATTAGAGAGACGACGTGCGAGACGCCTTTACAAATAGCTTACTCGGTACTGGCGACGCTTACTGACTTTACTGGAACGAACAAGAATCTGACAAAAACCCTAAAAAATGGGTACCACGAATATTCTTTGTATTAAAATTAGTTCAGTATCAGTACACGGGAGCAGAACGAAATGTCCCGTCTGAAGGCCGCACTACAGAGAGAACATAGGGGCAAACTCGCGATACACACGCCGAGGAATACGCAACTACTCTCACTCACGTTCAGGGGAGACAAGACTGCTAAGGTGTGCTCTTTTTTAGGGTTTCGTAGTCTACTAGAAACCCTTATCATTTCATCAAGTCTGCCTGTCTGTATGACGCGTCCTCATAACTTCGTCAGTCTTAGACCGATCCACATCAAAAATTGATGTGAAAATAGATCGTAACGACCAAAAAAATTCATTTTTTTGTTTTTGGACCTACCCGCTCGCGCGTGAAAGGAGGGCAAATATGATTATATTATTGATTAGCGTATCGTTGAATAAATCTTTTATAACTAATGGGACGTTTATATGAAAACGTAAAATGTCTCTGATTTTAAAAGGGGCGTTTTTGAACCATAATTTGTTCCAGATGTAACACCTAAAGTATAAAAGCAAAAAATTTTAAAAGTCATCATTTTCATCAACAACCTTCGTCCAATTTTTGGAGAACTTGCAAACTTTTCCACCCCAATTGACCCCAAGCAGCATTTGCACCTGCGACCTTCGCCATCTGTACTGCCGATGCCACTACCAATTAGGCTACCGCGGTTCTGTCCAAGTCTGTGAATTAAGCAAGTATATATTGGCTACTAAAGCATGGCAAGGCTCCATCTACTTACCGTACCGAAATTTTGAAAATAATCTCATTTTGGCGACCAAAGATGAAACATGTGCCAATCTAGTACATAAAAATACAATCTAAAAATACTCTTTAGTAAAATGTCTTTACCCTTCAACTGCGTCAGAGCCAAGAAAATTGTGTAAAAACGAAGACTTGGTTCCATCTTTTTTATCAAAAATATTTCGCAGATTTGTGATATAGTTTTTTATGTAAAAATCGGGTATACCAGGCTTTATACTAAAATATTCCATGCTATTTGTATTCAGGTGATGGGTTCCCTTGCAGTGGATCCCCCGGAGCCAGGCCGGCAGCTGCAGGGCATCCTGGTGAAGAGGAACTTCAACTACCACATCCTCGCGCCCGCAGACCTCAACAGTAAGCCCACGTTACATTTTCATCCTCTATATTACAAAACTTCTGATTGGGCGCACATAAAGTGCGACTAAAATAGGTCATAGTCATAGGTGTACAATCAATGTCGCATCTACTGTGCTGCCCAACAAACCCCTGCTCATATACAGTCACTCACGCTAACTCATGAACAGTTCTGTTTTAAAGTTTCGATTCTCATGTGATTGATACGGACAATCCGAAAAAAAAGTCTGTTGTACTATTAAATAAATGTTGCTGCATCCAGAAAAGTGACAGTTATTGCTTTAAAATGATGCTGTCTGAAAAAAATCTAAACCTTAAAATTGGGATTGTTCATGAGTGAGCAGGAGATTGCCGTGTGATGCCGGCTTAGAATAGCATCACCCCAATTCTACCCGTGGGTGTCGTAAAAAGCGACCAAGGGATAATAATCCAGGGAATGGGCAACAGCGTTCCCTGTGAATTAAACATCTTGCACTGCGCTCGCCAATCCGCCTGCCAAGCGTGGTGAGTATGGTAAAACCCCCCAATACGGGGGAGGCCCATGTCCAGCAGTGGACTGTTGTGGCTGTAAAGGAGCGGGAGAGACTGTACGCTGAAGGATCTACAAGAGGCGAATGACAAAGCCATCGCCGTAGCAACACACTGGTCCAAGTTACTGATATCCAAGTCATTTTATTCCGGGTAAAAAATACAATTTGAATTTGGAACATTAATATTTGCACCCCAATAAAACGCAATTTTACTACAGATTAGTATTTTTTCTATACACTTTTCTCTGCCGTGTGCCATATCTTCCTTGTAAGTGTCGTAAGAAGCGACTACGGGATTTGAGAGTTGATGTGTATTGCAAATATAACCCTTAAGTAGGCGCGCTAAAAAAAACAAAATACAAGCGTAATTAGAAATTTATTCATCACAACTTAAAGTTTTGTTTCTAATTAACGTCTTAAACCTCCCTTTCAAGAAAAACAAAACAAATCAAACGAAAAATAATTGGTACTTAGAGACCTGTTTTCTTAGGCACATTTTTCGCACACTATGTTCAAGGGGTCATTGCTTACATGATTCAACGGGCGCGTGGGGTGGACTACACCCCAAACGTGCTTTTCTGACACAACCACATACAATAGAGTGCTGCTCGAGACTGGAATGCAAAGTTAACATCCATTTTTGAGGGTAGATGGAAAATCAGCATGGTACCTTTAAAACTTTTAAAGTTCTAAACCTTAAAACATGCGTTGGGGTGTACACGACCCCACGCGCCTACTAAAGGGTTAAGCGACAGACTGACACCCAGTCACTATGGTGATACACAGTCTTCTGAATGGTTCTCAAACTTTGGTCATACGTGGTGTAAATGCCCGTTTTTTTCAACCGTTTACGCTCTGCCTACCCCGCAATTGATATAGGTGTGTTATATGTGTGTATGTATTTGTAATTCTAATGAAAATGATGTTTCTCCACAGAATACACAGAGCTGACCCAGTCGGAGGTGTCGCAGCGGCAGTCCATACACTACGCGGGTAAGTTTGGCGTTCCTGTGTGATGCTGGCTTAAAATAGCATCACCAGTTTTCTTACAAAGTTTGTCAGGTGTTCAGCTGGTTCTACTTGTAGAATTACTTTTCCTTTAATAAATGCTTTGGTGTTTTCATTTAATTTTGCGAGAAATTCGTAAGTATTCCTAGTGTCGTAAAAGGGGACAATGGTGCATGAGTATTACAAAAGGTGGCACGCTGACAACCTATCACTATGGTGATACATTATTAAAAACCAGTCCGCAAGGAACATAGGTCGAAATAAGAAAAAAGCTTAGATCTCCTATAGAAATTGACTCGGCTGAGTGATGTATTTTGTTAGGTGGAGTTATTTTTTTATTCGATCTATGTTCTTTGGTGAAAGTTGTTCAGTTACATGGACAGATTTTACCCTTGAAATAGCTAGTCTTTGTTTAATGTACCTACCATAACCGTTTGTATGTATGTTCGTAAAAGTTAGTATGCATAAATTGGGTTTTTATTGCACTCACTCACAAATTCACAATGATATATTATTCTCATGAATAAGAAAAAGAAATTGAAAGAATCAAGAGATTGAAATTTGGCAGGCATCGATCTGTGCACCGATAGCTCAGTAGCAAAGTGGTGGCGCGTAGACCCATGCGACCCGGGTTCGAGCCGCGATCGATGCATGTCAATTTTTTAATTACATTTTTTTTACGTTAATATGCATGTTCTTAGGTTCGATTCCCGTGCTGCGGCACGTGCTGATGCAGCTGGCTGGGCCCATCGAGTTTATCAGCGAGACCAAGTGGAAACTCTACGGCTGTGTCGACCTCACTATTGACAACCAGATGATCATCCTTGAGGTTAGTTTACCTTTGTCTTGTAATACCACACCTCGGACACTCCCATACAACGGGCTCGTTATAGACAACTGTCATTTTTACTTGCATATGTGTGCGTGACGACAGGCGTGTGAGTGCAGGGTTGACATTCGTTTTGTTTTGATACACCTGATGACTACGTAAATGATGGAACCGCAGCGGGAATGACTTTGAAGAAAATGCAGGATGAAGTTAAACTATAATAATTTATTAAACGTAACATAGTTTCGATGTGTGAAAGCTATGTTACAATTTAAACTTAGTCTAACATTAAAACTAAGTATAATCTAAATTAGTCTAGGCGACTTTGCCCTCTATGTGTGAGGACAGAAGTGCTGGTTTGATGCTGAAGCCCGGCTTTATACTGGTCTTCAGCTGTAGTCTTGGAGGGGTCGAACTGTAGACTCAGCACTTCGTGTGATGGCCATCCGTGGTCAGCTTGAATCTGCACGTGGATGGAATCGGCAGATTCATCTCTTCTTGGGCACGTTCTTCCGCCTGCATTCCAGTGTCTCCAGCCGTAATCTACCATACATGAACACGTTTGCACGTAGGTAGAATGGTCACGTCCAAAAAGGTTCAAGTCGACAGCGTCTGCGAGATTAGGGACTTCCGCATAGCTCGTACATAACATCTCCACCCGCAGATCAGCAACTATTTTCCAACGTTTAGTAAAAATGTTGCTGGAGGTTTCCCTGGGGTAAGATGTTCTTTCTGCTCTCCTGAAATCTGTTCTGATTATGTCGTGTCTATGTCGACCCATGATGGGTGTGGGTTGATACAGCAGCGATTGCTTCTCGATGACTTCGTTTCGTACTGGATATTGCTGTCTTCCAACGGCCGACCTTGATCTTCATAATATATTCCAGGATCATAATGGGGGTGGGCAGCGATGTCGTCACACTTGTAGGCTAGTTAGTCATCTTGAACTTATATTGGTCGGTGTTAGGTAGGTATATTCCTTTTCGAGATGGTGTCAGCTTCTCAATTTCGGGCATTCTGCCTTATTCTGTACACGAACAAATTCTCGATAGTTGCTATCAAGGGATAGGAAGGAATGAGGATTTGGTGGTTCTATTAGGGATATTGGAAGTCTTAATAAATTTAAATACTCTCTACGGGAATGCTAAATTACTTGATTTCCAGATGACATATTACCTACTTATCCAAATCATAAAGTTCATACAATTTCCTAACTACCTTTTTACCTATACACCTAGTATATTAAACTAGCTTTCTGTCCCGCGGTTTCACCCGCGTCTTAGTGATTCTTCTAATTCATTCAGTCAATTTGGGCTTAGTTACTCACCAAGAGATGTCGCTGTTAGTTTCTTAAACGCGAATCGGCTCAGTCGCGCGCCACCTATTTCAAAAATATTGGAAAATGCGTGATCCCGTAGGAATGAGACATTTTTCCGTGGTAAAAAGTAGCCTATGTGTTGTTATTCTGGATGCTCTTTTATATTTGTGCAAAATTTCATGTCAATCTAATCAGCCGTTTTTGCGTGATGTCGTAACAAACACACACACAAACATCCGCCTTTATAATATTAGTAGGATTATTCAAAGTAGGCCACATAGACTATACTTTTATCGTATCGTCTATGCCCCTTTAAAGTTGAACAATTTCTATTATAATTTAAAACTAATACCTACTTGATAAATTATATCATAGAATGCTCGATGCATCTATATTAGAATATCTAAGCGAAGCTATTTCATCTATCTATCTAGTCCATCCATAGGTGCCCGATGCATGCATGAAATTTCTAAATACGTATCTAATACAAAAGAACATATTCTGCAATTTTCATTCAGTGCTCGATGCACGTAGAAAATTACGCAGTATATTAATAATTTTAATAAATAACATTACCTAGCGGTCAATGTCATTCATTCATTACGTTACCTACCTATTTCAACGATTTTAGCTAACATTGCACATTTTGCACGATGCAATACCTAACCTAGTGCAATAATGTACTGCTGATTCGCGATTGAACAGCTAAGTTATAAAATATTTCTTTTATAAAATTTATCCTAACATATTATGAGGAGAGTGATGGGGTCTCCTTCAACCCTCAAACGAAAGCCTGCGTATTATTTTATTGCAGGGTACGTTTGACCTCAATACTTTGTAACTTGAAAAGCTACACAAATTAAAACTA